ACTTAATTGAATTTAGTCATACAGGCTCCTTTCTTAGTTGAATAGAGTTGTATCTTTCAATTCATTTTTGAGAAGTAGCATTCCTTCTTCACAGTCAAAAATTTCAACTGAAATATCATGAAGAATGAATTTGTCTCACTTTTCATCTCTTTCAGATAGAATTGTTGTGTTTAACAAAGATTCTACTGCTGACTTTCAGAGATTCTCATTCTGAATAAGGAATTCAGCACTGAATTCAGGCATTGTAGTCAGAATGATGGAGTTTTCAAAGAATGATAATTCAATTGAAGTTATAACTGGTTTTTGAACTTCAATATCAGTCATCAACTGAGAAAAGAACTGCTGGTTAATTTCATTTCTGATTCTGAAAATGAGATTTGAGTTTAGCTTGTTTCTTTGCAGAATGTCCTGGTTTGAGACTTTGAGAATAAGTCTTCTATTTCTGAAGATTTGGAAGTTTTTCTCTTTTTACATTTTCTTTTTCACTTTTCTATGAATAGAGGCATGAGCAGTATTCTTCTCAGTTTTCTCAGAATTTTGAGCAGGTTTTGAGACAGCAGGTTTAGAGACAGCAGGTTTAGAGACAGCAGATTCAGCTGCTTGAGCATATGTTTTCTTCTGATTTAAAGAAGAAGAAGAAGAAGAAGTAGATAAGAAAGAAGAGCAAACTGAAGAGTCAGTGATTGTATTAGAAATTTTCAAAGTTTTTTGAACTGTGTTTGAAATTCCAAGTTTGAACTTGATCACTTTCTGTAGTTGTCTAGTCTGAGTATGAAGAATTAACAGAACTTCTTCATTCATCTCACTCAGACACTGCTTTTCAAGAATTTTACTTGCTTTTTCAAGTTTCTGTATTTCAAGAACTTGTTGTTTCTCTATCTCTTCTTTCTTTCTTCTCTTCAGAATTTCAATCTCAGGGATAGCATTTGAGAAAGCATCTTTTTCCACATCAACTGAGTGTACTTTTGAACTCATTGTTCTTACTCAATGAAAAGTTGATCAGACTAATTCAATTGAGATATTTATTAAACTCTTTTGAATTGAAAAGTTGGTCAGACTGTTTCAATTAAGAGGTTTCTAAGTCTGTTTTCAATTGAAAAGTTGGTCAGACTATTTCAAAAGAAGAATCACAGACTTTGGTGTATAAAACACCTGATTTTTTTCACACTAGTTCAGTAACTAGGTTAGATTTTTGAAGAGAATCTAATAAACTAAAATTGATTTTTAAGATAAATCAATAAAATCTTTACAATCTCTTTCTTGAGATACAGTGAGGAAAAGTATGATATCAATTGATAGTAAATCAGATGATATGACAGTTTTTGAGAGAAAAACTGACAAAAAATAAATCAATTTTTTGAAGAGAAATTGATTAAAACTATTCAATTTTATTCTAAATTATTCAATTCTCCTCACACAACAGGTGTGCAACTCAAATCAGTTAATAAAGAGTGTAAAAAAGAATTAAGTATTAATGAAAGCTCTTCAGTCACTGAAAAAGTAATTCTTATTTAAAAGAATATGAAATTATGACAGAAAACAACTCTGTTTTTAATTCTTTATAAGAATATTGTGTAAAACCCAGAGAAAAACACCTTACTTTTTTAAGAGAAGTAAAAAACTATTTCTAAAATCTTTTTTTTGCATTAACTGCTGCAGAAGAATGAGATAGAAACTGCTAAGATATGCACTACTGTATACTCTCTATCAAGACTTTCCCTCTTCAGAGTCTTAATATTATAGAGAATATAAGTCTGTTTCTATATGATAATATAAATATTGCCAGCGGGATGTAGAGGAACTGGTTATTTATATCTCAAAATAGAAGACTTTGTCAATGATTATATTAATATAGAGTTAATTCTCAAATTCAATAGAAACCTAGTGTTGCTGTTCTCAATCCCTTGCAGAATCTATTGAATATTGAGGTATTAAAACTAGATTTAATATATCTCACTGTGCAGGGATCAAAGGCTCAGTCAGACCTTGGGGTATACTGATTTTATAGTTGTTGTGTCTGCCGATTATGTATTGAGTACAGTTGCTGAGGTATCTTTTTGTACTTTTCTGTCGGGGATGGGCCAGATTGAGAGGGGTGGTACGAGGGCGAGACTTGGCGTTGATGTCCAGATACACTGAAGACAGACCGCGGAGGTTGCACTTCAGAAGTGGCCGTTGGTTATGTGCTTGATATTATCGCCGAGGTATCTTTTTGTATTTTTCTGCCGGGGATGGGCCAGATTAGGAAGGGCGGTACAACGGTGGGACTTGGCGTTGGTGTTTTGGAACATCAAAGATGGACAGGGTTTTCGCGGAGGTCGCTCCTCAGATATCTCCACAACTACAGATCGGGGATCTTCCAAAATCGAGAAGATTGGTGCATATGGCTAGGTCTCTTCACCTTACAATTTGTATGGCACTTTGGCCCGGGGTTGTGGTGTGGTAGGGGAGAACGGGGGATACTCCCACACAGGAGTTTCGAACAACGTCCGGTTCACGTTTGGCTGGATAACTCCACCACCACACAGGGTATGCGGTCGGCGATGGGGTCAGAATGCTCGTATGATCGAGGGCTTTTCGATGGATCTATCGGCGGGTTCTTATTCGAAAAATCGAGCGAGTTCGTGGTGGAGCGGTTGTGAATTCTCTGATATTGAGGTTAATATCTTTAAGAAATTGATAAAATTATAAGTTAAGAAGAATGATTATCTTACTTTTCAGAGATATTTTCACTATTTTATTACTTATCATAAGAAGCTCTATTAGAGTACTGAGAATATATATTATAATCTTTTTCTCAATAATCTATAAGATTATTAAAGACTGTTTATTAAGATATATTTAAATAAGTTTTTCTTCACTGATTAGAAACTCATTATTAATATTAATATTAATGATTTGATAAAGTAACTGATTAATCATATATTTAAGAAGATTATTACTGAGTGAAAAAAGCAGTCTCAGACTGATTCTGTGACTGTAAAAAAGAATAAAGATAAGAATAAAGATAAGAATAAAAGCACATCTGTATAAAAGTACACTCACTGTAGAAGATATAAATATACTGTTAATAGATGTTTCATCTTACACTCTGATAAAAAGAAGAAGAAGAATGATAAGAAGAATAATAAGAAGAAAGAGAAGAAGAATAACTTAATAAGTTCTTAATCAGTAGTAAATACAGTAATTATAAAGATTAAGTTCTACTTCTCTTTCACAGTCACTGAAAAATCATTCTCTAAATCTTGATATTTGAACACATGTATAAGTCTGAATATGATGAGTGAGCTTTATTCTTTTTCAAATATTAAATCTTTTAATAATAACATCTCTGTTGATTCTGTCACTGAGAGAACTGAGTTTATCAAGAAGATTAAAACTGTTATCTTAAAAATTGAGAATGATAATATTAACTTATATAATATTCACTATATTTCTAATATTACAGTTAATCTGCTCTCATTTATAAAGCTTGAAGATCAGAGATTTCAATTTACATTATCTTTCACTATTCTCTCATTTTTCATTTACAGAGTCTTGAACAGTGTTATTTTTTATACAGTTCAGACTGCTCAGAATAATATATATAAGATTAATAAATAGAAGTTTAATGAGAATCTCAATTATCTGAACAAGGCAGTCAAGTATATTACAATATCATATAAGTATAATTTTAACTGAAAAGTTGATCTTTCTGTGACTGCTGCTACTACTGTTAATAATATTAATTCTGCAGATATAAGAACATAGATATCAAAGATATCAAAGACTCTTTTGAATTAATATTATAATCTCAGTTACATTCACACTGATGCTATAATTACTATAATCAAGAATTCTTATACTGAAGTTATAATTTAGAGTTCTAAGACTAAGTTCTTTTATAAGAAATGTGTCAAGACAGATATAATATAAGATTATTTAAAAATACTGATATCTAAATCTATCTGACTCATTGAAAAGATTCATATTAATCTTGTAAATAATAGATATATATTGAAAGATCTCTCTGATTATCTCTTAGAGTTTCATCAGAAAATCAGATACTGAATGCTTATTATCTGTGATACAACTCACTATTATTGAGTATATTTTTTAAAGTTCAAGAATGAGACAGTTCAATACTTTGAGTTATGACTCAGATTTATAAATAATCTTAAGTATACAGTTTCTGCTTTTCTACAGACTGATATTGATGATGTTTTTCAATTCATATATATACACACAGTTATGAATTCATATGATATTAAATAAGAATTAACAGTATTATATTCATCACATCAGAATGATGTTTCTGAATGTGAAATTCACACTATTATGAAACAGATTAGAGCTGCTCTTTTGAAAGATAATCTTTTTAAGAAGTTCTGAACAGATATTCTAGAGACAGTGATTATAATAACTAATAATACTCTTATATCTATAGTTCTTTATAACTTGAAATTTTGATTCTCTACTGTAGAGATCTCTGTGATTCTAAGTCTATATAAGATTTCTTAATATGCACTTACAAATATCTCACTAAATATGAGGCATTTTCACTGATTAAGTACAGAGATTTTTATTCACTTACATGAATCTCAGTGATCTGTAAATAAGCTTTCTTCATATACTAATTTCTATCATATTATTGAATTCAGTAGCATATCAATATATCATCTATAACATCTCAAATCTGATAAGATTATTGTCAGTAGTGATATAAGATTCTCAATTACTGAAAAATCAGAACTGATTATCACATCTGTGATACTTATTAATAATGTTAGTAAATCAGAATCTGATATTTATCTGATTAATGATGAAGATACTTCTGATATTAATGATCTGAATTTCACATGATTGCAGCCTGTGAAATCACTGACTACATACACTTCAAGTCTTATTACAGATAATCTTTCAAAGTTCTACAAGAATGTCACATCTAGACTGACCGTGTGACTAGACTGGCCGCCGGGACCATGAATTTCACATTTGGTCCCATTTGGTCTGGTCTCATACATTTCTTGGCGTGAGTCCCACCAGGACCAAGCCTCAAAAAAATCTGAAAATGGACCATTTCTGAGAGAAATGGTGTGAAAAATGACCAGATTTAATTCAAGAACAGTGAAATGGGAGTAATTTTCCAGGATAAACTGTGAAAGATGATCATTCTTTCAAAATCAGAATGGGACTGGGACTGAAGGTCAAAATCAGTTTCATTCAGTTCATTCAGTGATTGCTTATATAATCAGAATTTGGTAATGATTATTGATAACACTCATGAAACAACTAAATACATTCTTGTGCAAGTTTATTCTTCACTTTCTCATGAAAACTACACTTCTCTGATATACTGTGATCAGAGATATTAAACTGTCTGATAATTTCATGTTTTACAATCATGAGTTTCTTGATTGTTTCTTCTTATAATTGTCTTCAGTGATAGTGACAAATATCTTGACTTGAGTTGAACTTTCACTTCATTCTCACCTCTGTCAATGAAATTGCCAGAATATCACACATCATCAGTGCAACAGTTGAATATGTACTCTCAACAATTTTTTATAACTCTAGAATTGATTTGACGCGTAAATTTGTTGGATTATCTTGAAGATAGCAGTCAAATTCAGTTTTATAAGCATGTAGTTTTGCCTGATTTTCAGTTGCAATCAATGTATGCAAGTCCTGTTTCAAAGTTAGTATTATAGTTCTATGTGATATGAAGTGTTATCAAAGATTGTTACTTACTAGGGAATTGTATTTCACTGTCTCCACATCTTGAACATCTGCTTATTCAAATCTCTGATAGTTGGCATTGTAGTAGTCTCAGGCTAATTTAACATATGAGTCTCGTTTCTCCTCTGTTCAATCTTGAGAAGTGTAGATGTTAACTCAACAGAAGGGATCTAGTAGAGCTGCTACAGCATAGTACTCTGCAAAAGATTGTTCTGTTTTGCTGTAGTAATATGCCAGTTTATCTCTTGCAGCAACAATAGCCTGTGCTATAGCATCATCTCAGACTGAATTTCTTTTTGAGTGATTCAACTGCTTCTCAAGATGAGTAAATAAACTGTTATACACTCACCAGGCTGACTGCAGTATTGGTGTACAAGTGATTGAGACTGTCTTTGTTATCTTATAAAACTGAAACAGTAAATCAATCACATATTTCAACTGAGTTCACTCCATATCAGAAAGTTTCAATATCTGAATCTTTTCCTGATCAGAGTGTTGCACTCAATGATCAATCATCTGACACAATTGAAGAGCCTGAACAGTCATCTCATATGTTGAACTTCACCATGTTCTAACATCCTGTATCATATTCAGTGGTGTGACTGATTTGTTTGTTTGTTGAATATCATGGAATTGTTGTTGTTATTTAGAAGAGGTACAAATCACATTAGCAATGTTTTGAATCTATGATATTTAAATTATTAGTCAATCTATTCAAAATTAACAGTAGCATTACCAAAAAGCATTATCAAAAAGCAATATCAAAAAGTGTTATCAAAAAACATTACCTTTTGCAAAGTGAATGCAAAAGTTACTTGAGTAATCACTTTCATCTCATTCTCATCCCAAGAACCAGCCATCTCATTATTCTTTGTCTCAATGTTAAGATTCTTTACCAGTGTTTGCATCACAAGTTGAACCACATGAGCAATGCAGGAGATATGACCTTGTTTATCATTTCAGAAATGCAAAGCCAATTTTTACTCCAAGCTCTTCATCATAGTGTAGTTATTCGCAGCATTGTCAGTTGTAATTGTAAGAAGACTGAGACTAATATCTCAATAGTCATTTTTAATCACAGTCATTAATATCTCTGTCATATAATCCTCAGTATGACTACTGATCAATGATTCAAATTCAATTAATGTCTCTTGATAAGTCCAGTTCTCATCAATATAATAACATGTAACTCTCATAAATGCAAGATTGTTTGTACTAGTTCATGCATTCACTGTGAGAGACACTCTTCAATGATTCTTCAACTCTGATTCTAGATGTTGCATATTGACTTTGTAGTGTGTCTCAAGGTTGGACTGAAGACAGGATCAATGTGGAATATGAAGATTTGAATTAAGCATTTGAAGAAGTGTTCAGAATTCAGAGTTTTCAATTGATTGAAGAGAAAGATTCAGAGATATACACATGCAAAGTAATTGTTCATGAAAGTTATCAGGTGAGAGTTGTGGAATCAGAGTACTGATATGAGGTTGTTTTCACATAATTTCCTTCAAATTAGAAAGTTAGCATTATCAAAAATCATTACCTGGTAGAGCAACTTACCAGCTCAGTAGTAATTTTCTGATTATTTTTCTTTTATTGTCTGCATTCTGATGACTTCAGATGTCGGGAAATTTCTCCAGAGCTATGATCAGTTTATAATGAATGTTTCTGAATGAAGTTGCAGTGATTGTAGCAGAGAGATGACTCTTCAGTAATCTGTAATGCAACCTGTTGATAATTATTCCATAGTTCATCTCAATGTTTGTGTTGAGTTTTTCATAAATTTTGTGACCTGGAATCAGATGTGAAGAATGAAGTGATCATTCATCATGATTGAAAGAGAGCATTCTGTGTTGAATTGTAAATAACATAGACTTTGTGATTCACAGTGATTTCTTGAAGAGTTTGTGAATCTTCAATAGAA